ATAGATAGAAATATTATGGGCAGTCAGCCAGGGCCAGGCCCTTATGGAGACCAGATGGCAGACAAGGTGACTTTGCAACTGTGGATACACTTTTCTGCTGTGGGACAGATCTCAAGACAATAGTAAAGAAATGCATGTAGGGGCCAGAGATTTGGCTAAGTAGAATAAATGCTTCCCTGGCAAGTGCAAGGGCCTGAGTTCAAATCCAAGTTCCACAAAAAAAAAAAACGTAAACAAATGCAGTCACATACTTCCCTAGGGATGGGCATCAGGGACTGATATGATAAATAAGTATCAATCACCTTGAAAGAGCCTGAAAGAGTCACTAGCCCAACCCCAATAGGAAGAGACCTTGTTCTGTATTTGTGCCTGCTTGCTAAGTGACTTGCTTTCACATTTGATTCCAATGTAATCAATTTTACCTGAGCGATGATGTTTGCAATCTCATTGGTTGACCATAGTTTTGTTCCACCTCATGGCCACCTAAGCGAGTTCCCATGTTCTCCACAACCTTCAACCCACCACACTGCACATTTTCCTCTATAAAAAAGACCCTGGAAGAGACAGCATCCTGGGAAATATATCCTGCTCAAAACCTCCATTTGTTCCTAAAATTCATTCTTCAGTTTTAGAGAACACGAACTCGTTCTGATACAGGGAGGAAAAACTGGTCGGTGACCTCCAAACCATGTGGGGAACCTCCAAATGACATAGGGAAAAACGATCTCTGGACCTGTCCTGTATGAGTTTGTGTTCTCTAAAACTGAAGAATGAATTTTAGGAACAAACGGAGGTTATGAGCAGAATATATTTATTGAGAGAAAGAAAGCTCCTGTCCCAAGAGAGGGACAGAAGAGGGGGCCAGAGCGGGTAGTTCCCCCAGGAAGTTGTCTCTTGCAGGGAGTTTTATAGAGGAAAACCATGTAGTGAGGCGGGTCTAAGGTGGTGCAAAAGACATGGGAACTCGCTTAGATGGGCATGAGGTGGGACCAAATATGGTCAATCAATGAGATTACAAGCACCATTGCTCAGGTAAAATTGATTAAATCCAGTATCAAATGGGAAAGCAAGTCACGTAGCAAGCGAGCACGAATACGGAACAGGGTCTCTTCCTGTTGGGGGTTGGGCTAGTGACTCATTTGGGCTCTTTCAAGTTGATTGATACTATTTAGGATATCAATCCCTAATGCCCATCCTTAGGGAAGTATGTAGCTGTGTTTCCTCTTTTTGTCTTGGTCTTGAGATGTGGCCCATATGGGAGTGTCTGTCTCTTCCAAGTTGCAAAGTCACCTTGTCTTCCATCTTGTCTCCTTGAGGGCCTGGCCCTGTCTGACTGCCTATAATATTTCTGTCTAACTCGGCTGCCTGCAACAGTTCCAAGTACTTTTTAGGTTGGGTGATCAGTTTTCTCCCTGTATCATTTGGAGGTCATCCACTGGAAAAACTGAGTTTTTCTCCTTGTGTTAAAGTCACTTTTCCTTCCTTGCCAACACTCCCAGCCACCCCCTGTCTTCATTGATGGCAGAGTAATCAGGTACCAAAATTCAGCTATTGTGGAGGAGAATGTACTAATAAATTTATTAAAGAAGAAACTCAAATTGCTCTGTTACAGAAATAAGTATCTCAGTTTGCTCTTAAAATGAAAATTCACTTATGAGACTGATAGGTTATGGCCCTAGTAAGAATTGCTAAATTATGGTGGTCTTCTGATATGGCTGAAGACCTTAAAGCAACTGCTTATCTTCCCAATGACCACTTCCTCTTCCTTCCCCACTCCAGCCCTAGTTACAACTTCCTGTGACCTTTCCTGCCCACACAAGGGAGCCTCCAATCAGCTTCTTATATGTCACTAAACCCGCCCCTCAAACTCCACCCCTGGCAGATGTCCATAAAGTCTCAGGCTCTCTATCTCAGGTCAGAGGATCTGCCCATCTCCCTGCCATCACTGCTGCCATTACTGTTGCCTCTGAAACCTATCAGAGACTAGTATTCTGGATAAGAGAGACAAGATAATATTATTGAGACAGAAGGAAACAAAAATCTAAAGTCAGCATCCTTATTTTGGCTATCATTACCTGTTGCGTTTCCTTGGCTTAAATTCCTTCAACAGAATTATGGGGTTAGATGGTATCTCTCTAGCAACTCTTTCTTTCTTTCTTTCTTTCTTTCTTTCTTTCTTTCTTTCTTTCTAGAAAGGGTCTCACTATGCAGTCCACACTATCCTTGATCTCACTTGTGTAGCCTAGGCTGGCCTTGGACTCACAGTGACCCTTCTACCTCAGCCTTCCAAGTGCTGGATTGTAAGTGTGGGCCACCACACCTGGCTCTCCCAACTCACTGGACTTAAATTTTTGTTATTACTGATTTTACATTTTATTTCTTTATTTTTTAAATGAATAAGGGTTGTTTTCTTATTTATTTATGTGTGTGTGTGTGTGTGGCCAGCTCAGCCCACCAGGGGGCGGGACTGGCTGGTATGTGGTGCTGGGGGATTGAACCCTGGTCCCTGTGCTTTGCTAAGCTTGTTCTTAATAGGTGCTTTAGACCACTGAGCCATGTCACCAGTCCTGATTTTACATTTTAATAATAGAAAGTATCATACCTTTATAGAGATGGAGAGGCACAAAGAACAGAGGTAAGTGGCTAAGATGTCACTGTGTTAGAAGCCATGGGGAGCTACGAAATTGATCAAATGTGTAGGTGAGACTGGGCCTCAGTGCCTAAAGCAAACAAGCTACCTCACTCCTGAGATAAATATCCTGTCTGATTAAGGTCAGCTATTAGTCCCTAGGCAACCTTGTGTCATGTGTTACAAACTTTGCAAAAGTATAAGTAAAGGATCGTTTTGCTGTGCCTGAGTTAGTTAGTCTTGCCAATCAGGTGGACCAGCCACCACCTAACCCAGTTTTTGTCTTGTTCTCTTTTTCATTCCTGCAGCCACATCTCTCTGGGTAGAACTGATTACGATTTCCAACTGATCCCTACATCACTGGGCAGGTTTTTTAGCTTAACCTAGTACTTACTTATTTTGCAGTGCTGGATATCAAATCCAGGGCCTTGTGCATTCTAACTACCAGATCTACCAATGAACATTCAATAGAGTACAACTGACATCATAAAGTGACTCTACCACAAGGATCTGTCTGCTATAGCAGACTTTAAGAAGCTTTAAAAAAAAAAACAGCCTTCTTTATATTAAACAGAAAAGTCTAAGGCATTGGATGTTCCCATGTAGTACCTGCAGGGTTTGTGCACTGAGATACAGATGAAATGAACTACTCATATTTTCAGATGTTGGAGTGGGGTAGAAATAGCGTAGGAGTAGGTTCCTCACAGAATCTGTTAAAGTGAACACTACTTATTTACATAAAACTAAACCAGATCATGTTTTCCCTTTTGTTAGAGCCATCTCATGATTTACAGGGTGGAATAATACTGTTCAGACATGAAAAGAATACAATCCTGTCATTTACAACAGCATGGACAGGTCACTGTGTTAAGTGAAATGAGAGAACTACCTGGGGGGAAAGGCCAGTATTACATAATCCCAAACATACATACAAGGCTTTTTAAAAAGTTCATTTCACCAGACATAATAGTATACACTGGTAATCCGAGAAATGGGGAGGCTGAGGAAGGAGGATCCCCTCAAGTTTAAGGCCAGCCTGGGCTAACAGTGAGACTCTGTCTCAAATAAACCTAAATAAATAAACAAAAATAAAAGGTTGATTTCATAGAAGTTGAGAACAGAATGGTGGTTACCAAATGGGTAGTGAGAGTTGGAGTGGAGGGGAGGGAGACCTGGGAAGAAGTTGGTCAGTGGAGGGCAAATTACAGTTATCTTGGAGCAAGAGGGTTCTGCTGCAATTAGCCATGAGCAAGGCATTCTGCTATGCAGGGGCACAGCGGGATGCCTGTAATGAACCATATACTCCCCAAAGCCAGAAGAGAAGCCTTTGAATGGTTTCTCTATTAAAAAATGACAATGTGTTTGAGGACTTGAATCACGTTTAACCTCATTAAAACATCACACAATATACACTTATATCAAGCCGGTACTTGGCACCACTAATATACACAAGGTTTAGGTATCAGCTGAAAAAAATTCAACTTTCACAAAAAACATCTCATGCACTGTCATCTCGTTGAGGAACAGAAGTCCAAGTCACTGCCACAGGTCATCAGCCTCTGCACCTTGAACCGGATTAGACGCCTGCCTGCCTGCCTCCCTCGGGTAGGCCTGCGGTGCTCCTGCTGAGCCAGCTCTTGGCAGTCACCTCCTCACACCGGGCAGGAGGCTCCCTCCGTGGGCTTTGCAGGCCTCTGCCTCCGACTCCTGCCTCACTGCGGGAGAGCGGGAGCTTCCGCAAAGGAGGGCCCTCCCCCTGCTTCTGTCCCAGCAGCTGCCTGTCTGAGGCCTAGCAGCCCTCTTGCTCAACCAGGCCTGAGGCAAACACAAGTAAAACATGCTGAGGAGCTTCTAAGAAAAGGGGTAGTGAAGAAGGAAGGAGCCGGCGGTGTCGCTGCACACCTGTTGTCCCAGCACTCAGAAAACTGAGACAGGAGGACCTCAAACTGGAGCCTATCTGGGCGAGTTAGCAATTTAGTGAAAACGCGTCTCAAAATAAAAATAAAAATGACTGGGGTAGTAGTTCATTGCAAAGACTTAAAATTCCCAGTATTGAGGGTGGGGGGGAGAAAAAGAGAGAGAGAGAAAAAAAAAGGGGGGGGAGAGAAAAAGAAGGGGAGGGGGGATAGGAGGGAGGAAAGGAAGGGGAGCAAATGGGGAGGGGTGGCGGGAGGGGGAGGAGGAAGGGAGGAAAGAGAAGAAAAAAAGAAGGAAAAGAAAAGGACAGGAAAAGAAACCGAGCACGCAAAACTACATGAAGCAAGTCACTGTGGTGCTTCCCAGAAGTCAGGCAGCCTCCTTTCCTCCCACCATCTGCAGGGTCAGCAGCTTCCCTGCCCTGGTCCTCCCAGCATCCCTGTGTTCTACTGACCAGAAATCACCTCCAGATGCACAGGGTCGCTGAGGCTGGTCCCGCCCATCTGGCACCTGTACTCTCCGCTGTCGTTGCCCTTGGCCGTGAACCTGTAGCTGGGCTGGACCTGGGCGGGGAGGGGGCTCCCGTTGTGGAGCCACCGCGTGGAGCGGTTCCCGGGGCTGTGGGCGCCCTCGCAGGTCAGAGTCACCTGGTCTTCCCGGAGCACCTGGATCCACGGGGGCTCCCGTCTCACCACGGCCTTTGGGAGGTCCGCTGAGAGGCAGAGGGCAGAAAGGAATATGAATAATTAACCTTGGAGAGGTCATGGGTTCCAAAGGAACACGAATAGGGGCACCGCCAGGCTGCACTGAAACCTGATTTGTGGTGTCAGGCCTTACCTTGCAAAGTAAGTACAGTGTCTCACTGTGGGGAAGTGGCACCATCAAAACAAGCAAGCAAAAAGCCAACTCACCAGTTAGTCTTCCTGCAGAAGCTGTAAAAGAGAAGTGGGTGGGTCAACACAGAGCAACAGAAGAAGATAACACAATGAAATTGGCCCTGGTCACACACTCCTGTTATCCCAGCACTCTGCGGGGCTGAGGCAGGGGGATTCCAAGTTGGAGCCCATCCTGGGCAATTTAGCAAGACCATGTCTCATGTTAAATTTCTTTAAAGGGTTGGGGATGTAACTTAGTGCAAAAGTCTGGGTTCAGTCCCCAACACACACACACACACACACACACACACACACACACTGTAGGAGAGAGGCAGCATAGAGGGAAATGACTTGGGTTCCTTCTCTCTCCATGACCCATCCCAAGAGCCTATGTGGCAGACTGTGGCGGTCCATGCCTGTAATCCCAGCTCTCGGGAGGCTCAAGCTGGAGGAGCACTGCAAGTTTGAGACCAGCCTGGGCTACAGAAGGCCCATCTGAACTACAGAGTGAGACTCTATCTCAAAAATAAATAAAAGCTTACTTGCAATTAATATCCTATGCAAATATCCTTTTTTCTTCTCCTCCTTATCTCGGTTCTATGCCCAGTGGCATGGCTACAAAGTAGTATGGATGTTTGGACCCCAGGGAGCTTCTGAGAGATCATGAAAGTATCTCCAACATCTGACCTCAGGAAGCTGTAAGAACTCAGGCCTTGCTCTTCCCTCTGTCTGTCCCCAGCTTCCAGGACCCCCACCTGCTCCCTACAGCACTGTCCCTGGAGTCCAGGTAATAGCAGTGGCTGACATTTCTCTTTGCCCAAACCACCCCCACTCACCCAAGAGCAGCAGAATTGCCAGTGGTTGAAACAGCCATGGGCCGCGAAGATAAACATTCTCGAACATCTGAGTCTTCAAAGTCATCCCAGATCTGGGCCACAGTCCAGTGAGGGTTAGGAGACAAACTTGAAAAAGAGGAAGGAAACTGTTTCGTCTTCTTTACATATGTCATGAATCACCAGATTCTCTTGATGTCAGCAAGTCAAAGAGTGAAGTGTGATTTACGGTAAATCCCTCTGTCTCGTAGCCCCTTTTGTGTTGTGGAAGGAATCTCTGATATACTGCTTCATGGTACAGAGAGCGACCCAGGGGCACCCATGGAAGGAGGGCGGGGGCTGGAGCCGGGTTCTGGGTCTGGGTTCCTCATTGTTCCCTGTTCTACCTCACTGGCCAGTACAGGAAGCTCCACAGAAGCTTCAACTCAGGCATATCTTCTAAATCTTCAACTGGAGAATCAATGTTAAAACAACAAAATAGGGTAATTATCTTCAGAAAATGTTCCATTGAACAAGGTCTTTAAATATAGCACGGGTCAGACTACCCTCCTTCCTCTGCCCTCCACATCTACTAACCTTTGCGTGCATGATACAAATTTGGTAAGAAAGCCACAAAGCAATTTCAAATGCTATTAAAAGAAGGAAAATGTAAGGACATGGTCAGTAGAAGAGGAAATAAAATAGGGCTCTACTTAAGTCTTCTAGTTCATCCAGACTAAAAGGAATTAGAAACAAGCTTTACTAGAGAGATTCTGTTGGGAAGAAACTCAAAAACAAGGATAAAAAATAAAAAAAGAAAAAAAAAAGAAAACAGAGAAAGTCAACAAATAGCCTTTGGATTTGCATGAAACAAGACAGGACACAGAGAAAAAACCAGGTAGCATGTCCTAAGTCACCCCCACCTCTAGCAACATAAAGGGGAAGCAAGGCTGAGGGGGATTGGCTAACTCTAAGTATATACTCCCATCTATGCACTAACATGCACACTTATATGCACTTTGCTTACTCTAGAGTCACTATATTATTCACACTAGGATCATTATAGGCTACAATAGACACCCATGTGCCCCCTTACTAACTCAAAGTTCACTGCGAATAAGGGACCCCCTTGCCAACTAGCCACCCACCCCAGAGATAAGGCCTTAAAAGACACATTAAGAACGAGTAAAAAGTAGACAAAGAAGCTGCACACAGACCACAGAAGCCGCGATGTTAGGAAGAGGTGCCTGGAAGCTGATCCAGTTGCAGCAAGGGCTGGGTGGAGGGAAAGAGTCCCTCACTCTCACGCCCACATAAACACCGCTGAAGACAAAAAGCCCAGGGGTCTTCCTTCTTTCCAGGGCCCCCTACCCTGATTCTTTCTTATCAGGTTAGCTATTTATCTTCTTTCTCCCTCTTTTTCCTCTTTACAAAGAGTTTCTTTTTTTGAACTTTGCCCTTTTAATTTATCATTAGGGCGAGGTAGGATCCCTGGGGGGCTGCTCCGGTAACAGAGCTGCTGTGCTCGTCCTCCGGATGCAACAGAACACACATGTTTTTGTTTTATATTCACTCTCTACACACTGCTGACACCAAATGTGAGTTTTTTCCATACTAAGCAACTCTCTATGCCAGCCCTACTACTCCATTCTGACGCTGTCTACCTGGAATTAGCCTCCGATCCCACAGGTTGAGCACTCGGTTCCACAAGACGGCACCTATTCAGAAGCCAGGGGCAAGTCGGGGTCTCCTATTCTCACTGATGGCTGTAAGTTAGAAGTTCCTGCTGGATCTTGTGATGCAAGCCTGCAATTCCAGTGTTCTGCAAGTCTGAGGTAGGAGGATCACAGGTCTGAGCCCCGCCCAGGCAACTGGGTGATTTAGGAAGAACCTATTTTAGAATCAAAAGTATAAAGGCGCGGTGATAGAGCTCATGAAAAAGCCCTGGGTTCAACCCCCAGTGCCCCAAAACCATAAAGCCTCTATTTCTTACGTAGCTCATTAAGATAAAGTATTCCTACATCAAATGGACCTCTAATGACCTGGATCCCTATGGAAAAGGAAAATTTGGATACAAAGACAGACTCATACACAGGAAAAGCACCATGTGAAGTTGTAGTTCTACTGCCATAAGCCAAGGTACTGCCAGAAACTACAAAGAGCCCTGGAACAGATCTCTCCCTACTTTTCAGAGGCAGCACGGCTCTACACATACTCTGAGCCCCAATTTCTAGCCTCTGCAACTATAAGACAAAAAATTACTATTGTTACACTGGATATACATGCCTGTAATCCCAGCACTCAGGAGGCTGAGGCAGGAGGAGTGCCACAGGTCAAGGCCCAGATGGTTTACACAGTGAGTTGAAGGCTACTCTGAGTGAGATCCTGTTGAAGAAGAAGGAGAAGGAAGGAAAGGAAGGAAAAGGAGGGAGGGAGGGAGGGAGAGGAGTTCAATCCCCAGTTAGACAAAAAAAAAAAAAAAGAGCAAGACGGACCTATAGCTTTAGCTATTCAGTTTATGGACTTTATTATAGCAACCTTGGAAAACTAATAATTGGGTTAAGTACAAAATATTACTAAAACTAATTTTACCAGTTCCTTTTGTTGTAGAAAAACCAATGTCAAATCCAATGGAAGACTCTTCGCACTGAGGAGTTAGGAGACAACTCTTATTATGCTAGCAGGATTAGGGAACCCAGAGGCTCAAATCACCAGCACAGAGTCAGGCCTGAATTCACTTTAAATATGGTTTGCCAGTGGGAAGTACACAGCTGATAGCAGGTTATTATGTGATTGGATGCGTGGATTACATTAATTAAATCATGTGTTGTCAGGCAGATTTACTTAAAAGGAATTGTTTATCATTAGACAGAGACATCCTGAGAAGGAGGGCAGAAGGTGTGAGTGCAGCAAGTGGAGGTAAGTGGGTCCTTGACTGGGCCAGTGTGTCCCAGACATGAAGTCCCTGAAGCAAGTTGGAAACAACATTGTATTTTTCTGACTAAAAAAAAAAACACAAACTGGACACAGTCAAGTTGGCCCAGCTCATTATTAAAGAGAAAGAGACAGTCGAGGCAGGCAGACTGCAGCTAGTGACATGATAGGCAGTGTGACCATAGTGCCAGGCTCGAAAGTGATTCCTAACGTTTGCTATAATAAGCCTGTTATGGGTCAGCTCTGCATAGGAACCAGATCAGCCAGAAAGAAATTTGAATAGAGCCTTTTATTTACTGCACTCAGGTCCGTCAGTCCCTTCTCACGCAGGAGAAGGCTGATCGGCCCCGAACGTAGGTAGCAGGGGGCTATTTATAATAGAAATCACGTCTAGTTTGGTAAGCAAATTTGTTACTAGCACAGAACAACAGAAACTACATTTATCTGGCACAGCTGCAAACTGTTTATAACTAAAAGGTCTTTTACAGTTTAGTGATAAGTGTAGTTTTATAAGATGTATCTTAAGCTGACTACGTTACAGGAGATGGCTGGGGAGGGAGTTTGTGTTAGCTTGCTGCCTTGACAAGAAACAGTTATTTATTGGTGAACAGCCTTGAGCCCAAAGGGAGAATATATTTCTTAGAGTAGATAACAGGAAGCACAAGGTTTTGGTTTTGCTTTTTTTTTTTTTATAATTTTTTACAGTTAAGGCACAAAACTCTGTTAACCCTTTACAAAGCCTGTAAGCCTGCTATGTTTGCCCTTATGTTTTTACTGGTTGTAAATGTGGTTACTAGAAAGTTGTAATACATATGCACTGAGTACATGAAAATCCGTTGTCTGAGTGCTGAGAGCCTGTGCTCCAGGAAAATACCCAAATATTCTGAGGGCACCTTTGGAGGCTTTCCCTTTTGTAACTGTCATTTCAACGAGTCAGAAACACATCAGAACACAGGAAAATGACCATCAATTTTATTTTATTTATTTTTTTTGCTCTGAATGCCTTCAGGGCAGGTTTGGCTGACTTGAGTTGTGGGGATCAAACGACAGCAACCTAAGCCTGACTGCTTTGTTGGAGCAGCCACTTAAAGAACTGAGCTGGGCTGATGAGATGGCTCAGCGGTCTAAAGCATCTACTTAGAGCAAGCTTGACAAAGCACAGGGACCACGGTCGATCCCCCAGCACCACATGCCAGCCAGCCCTGCCCCTGGTGGGCTGAGCTGGCCACACACACACATACACACACACACACACAAAAAAAAAAATAAAATTAAAAAAAAAAAAAGAACTGAGCTAAGGGGCAGGCCCCCAACCATTAATTTTGTAATGAAAGAAGAATTGTTTTTCATGAACAATGTTGTTCAGATATATTTCTGCTCTCCTAACTCAGAATTTCCTATCAAGTCCTAGAGATGAGGATTTCATACCTGTTTTTATTTATTGTCCTGCTTGTAATCCTGACCTTGTTTGTCTACTGATTTAACCCTAAATCTCTTGTAGATCTTCCATGCAAAACTTAATTTTCTCTTTTGTTAGCTCAATAACTAGGTTGTTTTATTTTATTTTTTGGTGGAACTGGGGATTGAACTTAGGCCCTCACGCTTGCCAGGGAAGCACTTATTCCACGGAGGCATCTCCCCAGCCCCAAAACTTAATTTTCTCTTCAATACCAGTGCTGGTGTTTTTGCTTGTTTGTTTGCTTGTCTTTAGAAATGGTCTCGATTTGCAGTGCAGGCTGGCTTTGAATTCACTATGTAGGCCAGGATGTGATTTGACTGCTTCAGCATCCCTGGAGAGGGATTACAAGCCTACACACTATACCTGGAACATGTCATTTCAATTTTACTATTTTTCAGAACCGGGGATTGAACTCAGGCCCTTGTGCTTGCCAGGGAAGCACTTATTCCACTGAGCCATTTTCCCGGCCCCATCATTTCAATTTTAATAAGTTCCCAAGGTAGAGTTACAATGTTCCATTTATATTCTGAAAGAGAAAGAGAAATAGACAGACAGAGGGGCACACAGACAGACACACACACAAAACACACACACACACACACACACACACACACACACGGGTGAGGCATTCTGCAGCTGAACACAAAGCCATACTTCCATGCTGAAGCAAAGGACAGAATTTAATGCCTTACCACACACAGTGAGAGCAGGGTTCAGTATACTTGATGCCTACCATTC